TTTTTTTTTTTTTTTTTTTTTTTTTTTTTTTTTTTTGATACCCAGGTGTCCCAGTTTCGCCAGATTAAATCCTGGACCCCTAGCCACCGACCCCTCAGTGACGAGCGGAGGTAATTTCTCTGTAGCATTGTTGTTGTGATATTCAGTTGACACTTCAAAGTTCGAAACACAATGTTCCGTCAAACTTGACAAATGTTTCCCTGTTATGGAATAATGAAGTTCATGTTTGGCGGACAAGATGATAAATCAGGGCTCATTGTCTTTCTCTACATCAATCTCTATAATTCTTCGAAAGTATCGGACAATTTGTTTATTTTTTATATGTGCTAGGATTGTTCTTCTAATGTTCTTGCCATTCCTTTCCACTATTCGTAAAGTCTTCTGCAAAATTGATTTGAAGCGCACATCTCACTGATCCTACGATGGTCCTCTGCAATCCTATCGATGCCCCTATTCCGTGTGACTTTTTTGATGGAGTTTACGAGTATATCAATCAGATGCTTATGGAAGAGGATGACTCGGTTTTCCAAGATTGCTCGGCTCTCCAGGCCACTGAGAAGTACTTCTGCGAAGCACTCTGCGAAAAAGACTTTTCGAGCTCCCTTGATCTCATTAGCTCTCCATCAGATGCTCTTTCCCAAACAATCGTTGATCATTCGAATGATGAATCTACAAACAACCTTGTGGAGTCATTCTTGATGCCTGATCAAAGCAGATTTGATCTCAATGGTTCTGATGGGAGGAAGAAAAATCATGATCGAGATAATGGTGATTGTGAAGAAGAGCGGAGTAGCAAGCAATTGGCAAGCTATGATGAAGAGTTAGAACAAACTGAGAAATACGACAAGGCATTACTTTGTCCTAAGATGAACCCTGGTTTCTACAATGAATCCCCAGCTTGTCACTGTGAGGAATCATCAGAAAATGAAGGCAAAAACAAGCAACTGTATAGAAAACCACCGGAGTCAAAACGAGGAAGGCCACGAGGCACTAAAATATCAGGTACTATAAAAGAAGTGATTGATCTTAGGAGCCTTCTAACTCGCTGTGCACAAGCTATGGCAGATTATAATACCGCTACTGTGAACGAACTTCTGAAGCAGATTTGGCAGTATTCTTCTCCTTACGGCAATGCAACCGAAAGATTGGCACATTGCTTTGCAAACGCCATTGAGGCACGCGCGGCTGGCACTGGGTCAACACTGTATACTGCTCTCACTTCGAGGAGGATACCAGCAGCAGAGTTGCTAAAAGCTTATCAGACATTTGTTGCAGCATGCCCCTTCAAAAGAATGTCGAACATTTTTGCAAACAAATCTATAGGGAGACTAACAAGGGAAGCTACAAGAATTCACATAATCGATTTCGGTATTCTGTATGGCTTTCAATGGCCTTGCCTAATCCAGGGCGTCTCCCTGAGGCCGGGAGGATCTCCACTTCTTCGGATTACAGGAATAGATTTTCCTCAGCCGGGATTCAGGCCGGCAGAAAGGGTCGAGAAGACAGGGCACCGCCTAATGAATTATTGCAAGAGATTTGATGTTCCATTCAAGTACAATGCCATTGCCAAAAAATGGGATACTATTAGTCTTGAGGACCTCAAGATTGAAAGAGATGAAATGGTGGTTGTGAATTGTATGTACAGGCTAAGACATGTACCTGATGAATCAGCAGGACTCGACAGCCCAAGGGATGCTGTCTTGAACTTGATCAGGAAGATTAATCCCGACCTTTTCGTCCACGGAGTCATTAACGGGACATACGATGCCTCATTTTTCACTAAAAGATTCCAGGAGGCACTGTACCATTACTCTTCACTTTTCGATATGCTGGATGGGACAATTCCCCATGAAGATCAAGACAGGTTATTGTACGAGAGAGAAGAATTTGGGAGGGATGTAATGAATGTCATAGCGTGTGAAGGACCTGAAAGGATAGAACGACCTGAAACATACAAGAAATGGCAGATCCGCAATCAGAGGGCTGGTTTTAGGCAGCTCTCACTAAACCAGGATATCATGAAAGAAGTAAAGGCGAAGGTGAGGAACGGTTACAACAACGACTTTCTGTTAGATGAGGATAGTGATTGGATGCTGCAAGGATGGAAAGGTCGCGTAATCTACGCTCTCTCGTGTTGGACGCCTGCACGAGAATAATTCAAGCAAATGCTAATTGTGCTTGTGATTAATATGATCATTGTTATTAAACTCTGATTAAACACCAATTTCTTCCCTTTCTACAAATTTCGCGCATAATCCGCTTCTGTTTACATCTATAGTCGATGACTGACTTGAGCGTCAAATTGTAATATGAAAAGCATCTCATCGGTGACAAGGTACAAAAATCTAAGTACAGCGACATTTGAAATTTGGTTATATTGCCTACCTTTCTGTATGGCTAAACGAATATTAGATCATCATAGCAATAAGGGAAAAGAAGGATAAATCATGTAAACAGATTTGTCAGAAAATTCAATGAACATTTTTATTATCTCATGAAGATATACACATCTAGTTAACAGAACTGTGAGTTGGGGATGCATAAATCCCACCTCACGTTTTAATTCTACTAATACATTGGAGCAAATCTGAAAGGGAAAAAAAGGACCGCATAGTGTTTTTGCGCCGAAGAGGAGGCGGAGCTATGCTCACACATATGTTTCAATAGCAACCTTTCCAGAATAAGGAACTTCTTCTGACTTCTCTATGTCGCCCCACAGCTCTGGCAATGCTTCCCTCATATTGTGAATGCTTTCCAACACATAATCTACTCCTTTTGATTGATGCGAGCCGCCCACCTATTTTCATGAAGTACAAATTTTATTTTCTATCAGGACTCAGAAGAATAATTTTCCAAGTATGATTACAGTGATGTTTTAGCTTACCCAAACAGTATGAAGTCCCATGCTGTTTGCAGTCTGTAGGTTACTGATTGAATCATCGAAGAACAGCTGGAGAAAGAAATAGATAATCAGAACAAATATGAAGGTGATGAATTGAACTTAGCAAAGATATTTTAGCTGAAATATCGTTTAAAATGGTAGATCATATCAGAATAAGTAAAGCAGTACAAATACTGTGTTGCTCATTGTTACCATTTCGGCAGTAAAAGGGTAAACTTACCGTTTTCCTAGGATCGATTTTGGCAATCTCAAAAGCTTGTTCAAAGGCATTTCGAAATGGCTTGCACACAATTGGTGTCTTCAGAACTTCTGGAAGAATGCCAAAATCACGAAGCAATAAGCGAACTCATGCAATTAAAACTGAAAACAGTGTTAAAACTGTTAATGTTGATCTTTTTGACTCACCATCAAAATCATTTTCAGGTTGTACATTGTCCTTGTCCTTGTGAATAGGATTCAATGTCTCGAAACAAATAATATCGTCAAAGCAGTCCTCTAAGCCAAGTCTGCTAAGAACTTTAGCCACATGGGCTTCATTTCCATTTGAGAATATCTGTTTAAAATTATGCATCCAAAGACATTGTCAAAGGCACAGAATATTCAATCTTAAGACATTTAGCTTCTACAAGTCAGAAAAGAGGAACTCACAACTTTCCGAAAAGGCAGGCTACGTAAAAGATTCCTTAAAGTATGGTCAGTTTTTAACCACTCGTACGGTAATCTCCCATGTACAAAGCTGTAATCAGGAAATTAGAGATTAGATCCCATTTAACAGAAACAAGAAAATGACAAGTATAAAGAAAAGAAAAATTGGTACCTGTGGTAATCATCGTAATCAAAGTCATACCCCTTGGCCTAAAAGGGGGAAAAATGTTAATTGATCAAGTTCAAACTCATAAGGTCTGTTAGTTCAATTTTCCTTACTTTTTTCTACCATGCAAATAAGTAAATCCTGATGTTAATAAAGTCATAGTGAAGAATCAAAGCATACCTTTAGACCAGCCATTGTCGTTCCATATTCCTTGTACAGTTCAGTACACATTTGTAGAACTCTTTTCTCCTCTATGCCGAGTTTGTTAATCATATATTCTATATACATGCATCCAATGAATATTCAATCTTTTGATGGTAAAAATATTGTAATTTACATAGTAAGATAAACATTTACAGTCCATACCTATGATGTTTTTGGTACACTCTGTAGAAATACCAGAACTTAGAGGATAGAGGGTATCGTCAACATCTAACAAAAGTTAGCAAATGGTAAGATACTTGCCAATAGTTACCGTATTTCAGGGAAGAATAAACTTTACAAAATAAAGACTCACCAAAAAGAAGACATTCGTATTTTGGCTCCGAAACTTGCTCCATTTCAAACTAAGAACTATACAAAATCTGAAAGGAAGCCAAATTTAAGTAAATACTACTTATAGAAAGAACCTCAATGTTTCACAGACAAAAATGTGTATGTATACAATTTACAATGCTTCTACTCAAATGTTTAGCTAGAAAGGATTAAACTAGTTGCTCAAATGATGACTTCGACGTGAAGCAACTAAGTGTCATAAAACTTGAGAGAGCCATATCTCAAAAGTTAGCCGTTGAAATTGGAGAGCCAAAGCCTATATAAATCACATGAAGGAAGCCCATACTTTCAACCTAGGATTCAAACCCTCATAAGTTCCACCGAAACCATAACAAACCACCACGCTTCTGACCCTAGCGCCCATGCAGGGCAAGCGGCCATACACCAACCATGGTCTCAAGACGTGATGCTTGCTTTGATACCAATGTCATAGAACTTTGGAGAGCCATACCTCAAAAGCTAGTTGTTGAAGTTAGAGAGCCCAACTCTATATAAACCACACAAAAAAAGCGCATACTTCCGATGTGGAATTCAAACCCCCGTAAGTTCCACCCAGGGCCGTTCCTAATAATTTGGGAGCCTTATGTCAATTTAAAAAATGAGGCCCCTATATTTTGAGCTTTCTCACAGAGAATTTTAATATAATTATGAAGAATCCAATACAGACAACTAAGTCTGAAATTTTGAAGGAGAAAATAATAAAATGTCAAATATCAACATGCAATACAAATTATAAGAAAATTTTGGCAAAAAAAAAAAATGCAATGGCAAATTGGTATGCTCATTTCTTTGATCATTTTCTCACTGCATCTATTTCAAACAAAATTGAAAATACATTGAGTGATTTATGTCCAAAATTGAAGAATGTTGACTATGAGAGATAGTGACAAAATAATAAAAATGAGGATTAAATACAAATGAGCTTATAATTTTATATTAATTCATGAGAAATTAACTTACAAATAAGAAGTATGAACCTAGATAAAAAATTATTAAATTCAAAGTACCTTCAACAAACATTTAAAAATGCTATTATCATAAGATTAAATCTAAACAACAATAACAGCAGCCTATGTACTTTGTAGTATATATTTTGAAAATGAGGAAGAAAAAAAGAAACAGGTAAGGCTGTAACAATGGCAGTGAGACCAAACCAATCTACAAAATTGAATCTTCAAAATTTTGGTTGAAAGGAATATAATTTATCGTGAGTGATTGTTGAACGTGAAATTTGAAGAGACAAATAGACATTTTGTTTGATCAAGAAAGGAAAATGAATGTTTGGAAGATAAATGGTCAAATTAGTTAGAGAGAGAATTAGAGAGAAATAAATGTTTGTGATATATTTCTGTGATAAATAAATGTAAGTGATAAGTTTTGTGTTATTTAAATGCTCTTTTTTTTTTATGGTTATTATATTTTAAATTTTCATTAGTTTCTTGTGTTTGTATATGATTATTTTAGTTTAAAGAATTTCATAAATACAATTTTCATTCCTCTTCGGCCAACCAATTATCCTTACATAATTTGGGGCGTTGACCAAAGCAGGGTAGGCGATCAAAGTCAGGGCCGCCATTAGTTTTACCGGAGCCTTGACACTAAGCGATAGAATTAGATAAGTAATCCCCAGCAAAGTTTAACATATAAAGATGGATATATGAATACATGGATTAAAAAAATGTAGGCGTCTCCGATGAATGAGGAAAAGAAATCAGAAAGCTAATAAATGAATGTCAGTTTCATTAAAAATCACATTTAAGTGCATCGAAGCAAATAAATAAAGATTCTAATCAGTAGTTCAAAACGACAAGAGAAAGGAGAAACAATCCCACAAGGGTAAAATGCCTAAAACATCAAATAAATCCATAACTTTTCCACATGAAAACACAGGATTAAAAGTTTAAAACCCAGAAATTTTCAACACTAATGTGGGTATCTAGATGCTCCCCAATCCCCATCAAACGCAGCAAAATGGAAGACGAGAACAAGAGACCGAATTATCACTTACAAACACAGGTGTTTATCCACCAAGAAAAACGTTGTTGGATTCAAAAAAATATGAAAAGAAAGTGACCCAAATTTAACAAAAGAAGAAGCAACATTACCAGATCCAATGACGTAATGTGTAAGAAAAATTTGTACGCAGGGGAAGAAACTGAGGAAGAATAGACAGAGAGACGTGATGAAAATAGATGACTGGATGGGGAAGCATTAAATAGGGAGAGAGGGGGAAGAAAAAATAAATCCGTGGAACAGTTCCTCCCTTTTGGGACTTTTATTTAGAAAGTTAACATGAGAAAGGTCCGCATTAGGTGTTGCGTCTAGAATTGTCGCACCATACCCAATTATTCAAATAAATAATAATAATAATAATAATAATAATAATAATAATAATAAATAAATAAATAATCAATTTTCTAACTCTTTTTTCTTTCTCTCTCTTACATGAACAAGAGAAAATATAGAATAATGCTACGTAACATCACCGTCGGTTTAGATCGTATCGTTGTTCAATAAGATTAAGATTTATTTCAATTCAACAATTTATTGTTTAATGAGGTTTGTCGACGTTTAAGTTCTAGATTAATGCTAAACACCGTGGTAATACATAAAACAAAAAGCACAAACTTTCACAAAGAAATATATATATATATATATATACACACACACACGATTGCATTTTGTTGACAGCGTCTAGAATTTTAAGTAAGAATTGCCGCGTAAGATTACGTCAACGTACGCCAACCCTCATTTACTACCGCCTTCGGCTCTGGTCTGTTTTAAAACTATTCACATGTAATGAACAAAAAAGTTTTGATTTAGTTGCTTCTATAATGCACTTTGTTGCTTTCAGAACACCTACATTTCACGTGTAAAAGCCGTTTACATCCTTTGACAGTTTAATACGCTTACTTTGACTTGATTTATAAATTGCTATGGTAAACTTTCAAGATGATTAAAGATCATACATAATTCATTATTTCGGGGAAAGTGTCCTTAAAAATAAGAGAGAGTCATTGAAGTATCTAATTAGTATATAGATTTTTATTATTATTATTATTATTTTTTTAACCAATGAGCTAATAATCAGCTAATTGACCTCAAAATTGTATTTCCAATTCTTCTCGTATATATGTATGATCTGACCTCTATATGATTCAATTCGATTCAACCATTTCACTATTGACCTCTGTATCCTCTTCAAATTGATATTCTGATTTTGAAAACATTAGTAAGAAACAACGCCTTAAAGGTAGGGATGTCAATGGATTGGATTTTAATCCGAATTCGATGAAATTAACGGGAGATGGATTTAAGGTTTCAATCCGATAATCCGATTAAGATCCGAATTCGATAATCCGTTAACTAAATGGAGCAAATATGGATATATGTCGATCCGATCCGATTTATTATAATAATATTATATATTTTATATATTATATCATAATTTATTAAATATAATTTTTTCCATTTTGAAACTTATATTATGCTTTACGCATAATTGTCAAATAATAAATAATATTAGATAATAGTATAATATTTTTACTTGAAATATTCAAAGAGGTTTAATTTTTTATTAATTAAAATAAGATAAAAATAACTATAGTAATTTGTTTTATAACATCAAAAACTAATAATTAATATGTCCAAAAATAATTTACTTTTTTAAAATTGATATTGTTTTTTATTTTAATTTTGTTAAGGCTATGATTTTTAGTGAAAATAATAAAATAAACTAGTAAACACTTCGAATTGACAATTGAGTAGTATCCCACATTGAAAGACCACTAAAACATTAGAAGAGAAGTACTAGTTAAAAATGTAATTTCTCACATAGGAATATTATTAAAACATTCTAAGAGAAATCTTCTTAAAAAAGAACTAAAGGAGCATCACTTCGATAGAAAATTGATTTGGGCCTTCTAGTATATTAGGTGAGCTCATCAAGATAGTTAAAATATTTTTTTTTTTGAAAAAATTGGTGAAAAAAATTTCGGATCGAATTATCGGATCAAATATCCGATAACATAACAAATCGGATATGGATTTAACAATCAAATATCCATTGGATAATCGGATTGGATATTTTTTATCAACGGATTGGATTCGATTTGGACAGATCCACTCCATATCCGATCCTTTGACAGCCCTGCTTAAAGGTACATAATTTTTATTGAGAGAATGCATTCAAATATCTACCACAAGAATTACCCCGAACGCCAAAGTTTTGTCATGTTATAATCTCAATCCTTAATGTCCAAGAGCTTGGATAATGAACTCAAGTTCCATTAGGATTGANTTTTAATTTTGTTAAGGCTATGATTTTTAGTGAAAATAATAAAATAAACTAGTAAACACTTCGAATTGACAATTGAGTAGTATTCCACATTAAAAGACCACTAAAACATTAGAAGAGAAGTACTATTTAAAAATGTAATTTCTCACATAGGAATATTATTAAAACATTCTAAGAGAAATCTTCTTTAAAAAGAACTAAAGGAGCATCACTTCGATAGAAAATTGATTTGGGCCTTCTAGTATATTAGGTGAGCCCATCAAGATAGTTAAAATATTTTTTTTTTTTGAAAAAATTGGTGAAAAAAATTTCGGATCGAATTATCGGATCAAATATCCGATAACATAACAAATCGGATATGGATTTAACAATCAAATATCCATTGGATAATCGGATTGGATATTTTTTTATCAACGGATTGGATTCGATTTGGACAGATCCACTCCATATCCGATCCTTTGACAGCCCTGCTTAAAGGTACATAATTTTTATTGAGAGAATGCATTCAAATATCTACCACAAGAATTACCCCTAACGCCAAAGTTTTGTCATGTTATAATCTCAATCCTTAATGTCCAAGAGCTTGGATAATGAACTCAAGTTCCATTAGGATTGAGACCGATCATCTTCGCCAATCTAGTAAATCAAGTCAACGCGAGAGTTTGTCGAACAAAATAAAGTGAAAAAGAAGGTATAAAACCAAGAATCGTATCAATCACAGTCAATATACATCTCGTCAATCTTGATTTTATCAGTAATCCTAACACACTGTAACAGCAATATCGTATAATGAAAACAATGTCTCAACGTCCTCATCTGCAGTTACATTGAAGCGCCTACTGAAAACATTATTCACGAACAATCCTAGCAGATTTCTGGAGTATAGCAGTTAGATAGACATTTGCCCTCCTATATATATCTTTTGAAGAAAGATTCCAGTTAACCATCAGTATTCAATTGTCAGCTCAGCTGGAGGAAAAGAAGTCGTTTTTTACATTTAAAACAGGAATAAACCATCCAGTATATCACATGGGAACTACATCGGGCACAAGAGGTGACGATCCATCATCTTCTGTTGTCGTCTCCTCCACACTGTCTGCACTTTTTTCCACTTCCTCTTCAAATCCTTTCTTATATCTATCATAATTCGTCATCTCATTTGATTTGAAAGGCCGTTCACCCAGAGCTTGGACCAAGTCGTCTTGGTGGAGAGTTTCCTTATCCAGCAGCAACTCAGCAATCTGAGCCACTTGCTCTTTGCGCTCTTCTATCAATTCCACTGTGCGTTTATATGCCTTGGTAACCCATTCGCGTACTTCAGTGTCAATAAGATTTGCCGTCTTGCTGCTGTAAGGTTTGCTCATTTCGAGCCCATCCTCCCTCTGAGGATAAGAGAGCAGACCTACCTTCTCACTGAACCCGTACACTGCAACTTGAGCGTACGTCATTTTTGTCACTTTCTCCAAGTCGTTCTGGGCTCCGGTTGAAATCTTCCCCAGTAAAACCTGAAAATCGAAGAAAAAGATGACCTCATAAGTGAATTGGTCATAATTATGGAGACAAATATGTTTTCTAGTTCTATCAAGTTCAATTGTATCAATTAAAAAATTAGGCAGTTTTCTGGGGGGATGAATTTAGGAACAGAGAGGATTGAAAGAACAAGTAGAAATCATAAAAATATTTGGAGACCAAAAAATTATAAGGTAATTAACCATCTTGATACATCTACAGTTTTCTTTTAAAAAAAAACTACGAAAAAATCAAGAAAAGAATGTTGTGACCTGTTCGGCAGCACGTCCACCAAGGGTCATGCATGTCATATCCAAAAGCTGCTCCTTTGTCATGAGAAGGTTCTCGTTAGGCACATATTGCGCAAAGCCAAGTGCTGCAGTGCCACGAGGAACGATTGTCACCTTCAACAAGGGTTCTGCGTGCTCTAGAAACCATCCAGCAACAGCATGACCTGATTCATGATAGGCTACCGTTCGGCGTTCAAGTTTGCTTATTACCTGTTCAAGAAAATAAGGAGTTATAGTAACTTGAAAGAACTATAAGATGGGTCAATGCAAGATGACTTATGATATTTCAAGTCCATAGTATAATCTAGTCACTTTATAAAGAGAAATTTCTAGATGTTTCCATATGTACATGTGCACAGACACATATTGCAACTAAATTGAGGAAAATAACTCATTTAAAAACTAAAAATAAAAAGATGAGGAAACAGTCAAATTCGCATATAAATTGTGCATTTGTAGATATTCTTGAGGAATATGTTTTAAGGACCAAGTTGGAGAGAGTGGGAAAGGGCCTAGTTGTTTTTTATATTTAGAATGGCCTCACTTTAGTTTCTGTTCTAAAACTATCTATGTCGTCTAAATTAAGAAGACTTCAACGAAGGTTGGAACTTTCCACATGTATTTTTACAGAATAACATCACCAGAATTGAGGCTCCATATGTTATCAGAGAATTTCATTGTGTAATGGGCCTAACGGCTACGTAGAAGGAAATGACATTTAATTGAAAGAAGATGGAACTCGCTGACTTGTCCATTTATCTATAGTTAGTTCTACGGCTTCTAAATAATAGTGTGAAACAGTAATCAGAAACTCCTCATCTATATTGTTATTCAGTCATCTAATGATATACAATTAAACATAGATTTGAACTTCATCAAAGAGAGGATTTTGCAATAATTCAACAAATAACTTGCAATAATTTTTTTAACTAATCATTCGCCTGGAAAGGAGTAGGTAGTTACATGGGCATTTTATCCATTGCCCCTAGAAGCCAATTCAGAAATGAAGGTACCTTGTTTTTCTTCTGG